ACATCATCAAAACGGCTCATATATATATATAAATTGGAAATATACAATTTGTGGAAGTAGAAAATAAGTTTGACTTCAGTCATCATTTCTGATTACATCTATTACATAGTTATAAAAAAAATTTTTCTTAAGTTTCAGAAAGTACTATTAAATTTTTTGTGTATTTATAATAAATTTTAAATGAAAAAAGTTTTCTGTATTTAGGGATCTAATATAATTCCACCTAAAGGTTTGCATAAACCATCAAATTTACAATATGTTGCACCAACACCACCTGTACTTCCACCACCAGGACTTGGTAAATATTAATAAAGCATAATCAATAAATTTTTTCAGAGTTCTTTGTAATTTATATTTATCTTATTGAAGGATCTCAACTTCAACGGTTTGCTTCACCTACATTACTCTGTCAGCCTCCTATGGTGAAACCATTTCTACCATTTCCTCAGTCAGGATTTTTAGGTCAGTTTTAAAAGTTTGTCACTTTTTTCTAACAAAAGATTTATATTGTAAAACATATTAAGGAAATACAATCTTGATATATTTATTTTTTTAATTTGAAGGACGTCTTGGAAAAAATCCTCCTCCCATAAGAATACCATTTGGTCCATGTAACTTTCCTATTGTAAATGAAAAGTGAGTAATTAATTAATTAATTATTGAAGATTTTATTTTAAAACAAAATAAATAATAGTGTTTTTATTTCAGTTCTGTTGATACAAATATGAATCAAAAAATTCTGTTAGACAATTTTAAGTAAGTTTAAGTTTTTAAATTTATTAGTAATAATAAAAAAGAATTAAAGAATAAATTGTTGTTTTAGACATCCTCATTACTACTCTGCTTTAAATTGGGCAATAAGACAGCAAAATGAGCAAAGTGGAAAACACTATCAAAATGATACAGATGATAGCTATGATGGTCTAATGAGTACTCAAGAAAAACATTGGTTGATAAAAATTCAAATGCGGCAGCTGCAATCAGATAATCCCTATCTTGATGACTATTATTACACAGTATGTGAATTAATATTTTTTTATACTTTTATTAATAAACTGTAATATGAAAACGTTTTTATGAATTTTAAAGACCTTCATATCTCGAAAGAAAGTTAAGGAAAAGGAAAATGGGTTGAAGTCAGTTAGTAAACCTAAGGTTTTACTTCCTGAGAGAACAAAACATGAAAGTAGAACTTATGTGCCAAGTATGTTAATATTGAAATTTTATAGTATTTAAGAAACTGTATTAAAAATGTAGACCACAGATGACTAATTTGTTTGAATATCTTAATTTAGCACAGTTTGAAGGCTCCTTAGGCAAGCTACAAGTTGCTAGTGTTAATAATCCTAGAAAAATTCTTGATCTGGATGTCTGCAGGCTAGGAGATGATGATGATAAAACAGGAAGCAGTCATCGATTTAGATATCTGCTGCTTAGTATTGAAAAAGTATATTTTTAATTTTTAATCAATTTAATTTATTTATGTATAATTCTAATTTAAAATATTTATTCAGTTATATTCAGTATTTTTGGAGATAGAAGATGAAGACAAACACATATTAGCTCTTCCTGAGCAAGCTCAAATACCACATCAGAAAACTCGTCAGGAATTGATTGATAAGTTATTTTCTGGCTTTGTAAAAAATAATGGTAATAGTCCAGATGATAACTTTATATATCTTCTATCTGTACGAAAAGGTAGAAATCTAGCCATGAGGTCACTTCCCTTTTTTGATACTGTAAGATTTCATTCTGTTTCTCAATTTTTTTTTTTTTATTATATATATAAAATGAGTTTTAAAAAGTTTGTTCTTTTATAGTCTAAGCAAGTGACCTTACTAGAGTTATTGTGCCGGGGTTTAAGTATGATATTACGGAAAGATCAAAATGATTTGGTATTACTGCAGCATTGTAACACTGTTTTAGAAATAATTGACAAATTGGATTTGGAAGATATTGTTACTTTAACAGAAGCAATACAAAATGTTAATGGAACACAAATTAAAGAGAAAAGTAATTATTCAATAGCATTTCAGACTAAAGTAAGTATTCTTATAACAGGTGATCAAGTGAAAGAACAACTTGTGAGTAGTATCTCACGGGGTTTGGCTGTATTGCAAACCATCTCTGCTTTCTGCACCACTGACTCATGGTGTCATCAAGTCTGACTCAATATATTACGAAACTCCATGCACTACTTGCAAGTTCTCCTTTTGTTTGATCACTTTGCATATATTAGTTATAATAATTTAAAATTAATTTAAAAATATTTTTAGTTTGGTACAGATGTTATTGCTAATTTATTAAAGAAAGGTGAACATCATTTTAAAAAAATAGAATGCAACAATGAATTATACAATAGATGGTGAGTATATTTATTTATTAATTTTACATCATTAAAAGTTGTAATAAAATTAATTATCTTCAATTTGTAGGGAATCTGTAATGGTTCATATTGTAGATATTTTATATGTCTTACCAGAGAGCGTTATAGATATGCAATCAAATATTGAAGAAATTGTGTCTTTACTAGGAAGATACTGTGTTAACAAAACAAAGCTGGAGGTTATTCTTAAAAGATTGGACAATGATTGGACAAATTGAAATATAAGGAGGACTGTAATTATTCTGATAATGTAAATAGAAGGGGAGAGGAAATAAGTGTATAGATCTTGCATATATGTGCAATTTGGGGAACTATCTATTGCTGAATGAAATGTTATAACCACTAAGTTCTAAAAAAGGCCAACATTTGCTTCAGTGCCTCTTTTTAGATAAAATTTTTTGTTGATAATTGGTAAACCTTACTTTTTGCATTTTTACATGTAAAGAAGAGTTAGAAAATTGTGTGACTATACATTGTTTTTCCCCCTTTTTTTTTTTTTTTTTTTTTAAGAAAATTAACATATTTATATATTTTAGATTTATATAGTAGGTCCCACAATTTTTAATCAGTGGTTAAAAATTCCTACTTGAATAATACTTATAATTATAAAATATTTAATTTGCAGTTAATTTCATAAATCTGTGATCATGTTCAAATTTTTTCCCAATGTGAATAAAGTACATTGATGTTTTTGTATCATGTGCAGATTTGTACATAATATCTTACATAACACAAAATTATGCATATAACCTATGTTCTAAACAATTTGAAATATAAATTATGATTAAAGAAAATATATATATTAAATATTCCAATAATTTAAAATGTTTGATTTTTAACATGATAGTGTTTACTTAAAAAATACTTCAAATTAGAAAAACAAAATATGGATTTAAGTATTAAAATTCAATTTATTTGTGCTGTAACTATGCTATGTTAACAAAAGTTCATTCTAACATTTAAATTTTATAGTTTTATCGAAGTTTATCAGATTAAGAATTTCAGAATTTTGAATAATTTTCATCTTATAAATTAGTTTTTGCCTGACCTAATGTTTTGAATTTGTTTCTGTTTTTTATATATATATTTTATATGTCATTCTACACACCTCAAAAATGAAATTGCAACACCACAAAGGAATGTGCATAGCCACATACACATTGCAGGACTGATAGAGGTGACAGATATTCAAATGATTAAAGGAACAAAGATATGCAACAGATACCTGTTTATTCAGTAAAGAATATGGCCCCCACAGGCCATATTCTTTACTCAATAAACAGGTGTCTGTTGCCTCACCATTGATAGTATGCCTCACCATACAGATATGGAGAGGCATACTATCAATGAGGTGATTAATGGTTGCCTTGCCAAGTTGCTTCCATTGCAGTGCACATGTATATAGTATGAGGCAGTGGGCCAGGTAACTGATTGCTTCATACTGGTCAAGATGGTAACTTACTGATCTGGGATCAAATCTGGACATGTTGAAAAAGCCCAAGGATTTTGAAATGGTGGTCTGTCTATATATGTCTGGCCCAATCCCTCACTACCCAGCTGCCTCGTGGGCCTGGCCAAACCCATAATGGGCTTGCTAAAACAGACCCTCTTAGTGCCCATAAGGTGAAAAGAGTTAAAAAAAAAAAAAAAAAGGTATGATGTGATGGTCTCCAGTGTACCTCACAGTGGATGCAGTCCCATAAATTTTCAATGGAAGAGATCCAGTGAGGCTGCTGGCCAGGGAAGGATGCAAATTCCATTCAGGCTGGTGAATTTCCCAGGCAATGTGCAGTCACGCAGTGTCTTGCTGAAACACCATATTGGGTATGGCCAAACAATGGTCCCCACAATTCATATGATGCACTGGTCTGCTGTCACAGTACTGGAAATGTTCACCAGGCTGTCCACTGTTCAAACTTGATGCCTCCCTAAATCACTATTCCTTGTGTAGGGCAGTATGGCAGTCAGCAAAAAGGGCTGACACACATCATTCTCTGGGATACTGCCACAGCTGTCATTCCTGCACAGATAGAAGTGGGATTCATCCATAAACAATACCCCATGCCATTCAATGGTCCAGTTATGATGATGATGATGATGACACCACACCAGCTATGCAGTCCTCTGTCAAGCAATTACTGGCACCCCTCTTGGTGGTTGCCATGCCTGCAACTCAACTCCATGCAACCTGTTGAATGGTTTGGGCAGACACAGATGAACCCATTGATGGCAATGGACCGCTTCAGATATTATGTGCTATGGCAAACAGGTCCTGACAGGCCATTTTGTGACTACCAGTCTGTGTACTCTTTCATGTGCCAGTGTGATCCACTCCCTCTTCATGTTTTCAGATGTTCTTGTGTCCATTGCGTCACATATTACTGGGTGGTATTCATGTTGTGCCCAAAATGTGTGTCAACTGCACACATCAAAACTGATGTTACACAGCTCAAAGATATGATCTTGTTTCCAAGCATTAACAGATAGTATTCAACTCACTAGCCTGAATTGTAGAAAATTCCTCTGAGATGACCTCAAAGGCATTTTCTACACTTCTTCAAATGTTTCACTGCTGCAAACACACTCTAATAGCATTTGCAGCCTGAACCTGCTGCTGGTTTTTATTGCTCAAAACTGAGTACCACATCACTTGATGCATACTCAACCTCTACTGGTCCTGCAATTAGCATTTGGCCATGCAATTCCTAGTGTTGTGATTTCACTTTTAAAGAAGTGTATATAATCAAAAACATTCTTTTACTACTTTTCACTGTAAAATAATAAATAATGGATTTGTCCTTAAAGCTTATGCAATTTAATATTTAAAAAGGATCTATGTTGTCTAGTTTAATTCATAAGCTAAAAGATTTGAAATTGCATTTCTGTAGTAAGATAATGTAGAGGTTTCAAATAGCAGCTGTTCAGTACTTTTTGAAATCATTCTGAATACAAATTGTATTGGTTTTCTTGCATTATGCTAGTCTTTAATCTCTATTACTATTCTTCATCTGAACAAACTTAATTTTGTCCTTAAATAATAAATTAAATGAAAATGAGTAAATTGTATTATGCACATGAGTAAATTGTATCATGTTACATGATGTATTTTCATAAATTATTTGTTTCCTTGTTTGCATATAGATCTAAAAATTTAGTATGGATGATGATATAGAATTTGATATGAGTGGACATTATCTCTGTTGTGAACTTATTGTTACTGTTTTGATTTTTGTATTGTCTACTTGAATTGCTTGTTTAAAATCACAAACTCTAACAAGTCCTTTGTACCATCTGCTAATGTCCACCACATCCTTGCTTATTTACTGTATCCCATTTTTCTGTCTGGCACTGGCATTCCTTATATGTCTGTTCAATCCTGTGGATAGCTTATAAACTGGATTAAAAATGTTAGTTTTTCTCCAACCTTACCCACTGTTAAAGATGTGATGTTTGCCTTTTTTTCCTATGTATGAAAAATTGCCTTTGTGGACACTTAAGATTTTTTTTTTTAATTTTACTCATTATGGGTTTGGCCAGGTCCACAATGGGGAGTCTAGGTGGTGATGGATAGAGCCAGACATATCCAAAACAGACCACTCCTCAAAATTTCTAGGGGTTACTTTTCCAGATTCCCCAAAGCAGCAGGGTGATGCCTTAACTGTGTTGGCTATCCAGCTGTCAATTACTTTGTTAAATTAACTGTAGTGGCTAGTTTAACTGTACTTCTGTACATGCTGTTTTAATTGGTAGATGATATTTTAGTTATGCACTAAACATTCCTAATTTTATTTCATTCTTTTATTTTTCTCATTTCATTACATCAGTGAGTTACTGGATGTGTTTAGTTTTAAAAGATAAATACAGTACTCAGATTATAATTTTTTTGTCAAAGAACTTACTCACTAAATAATAAGAATTACTCTTTCGCTAATCGACACCTTCTCAAAATGAGAAGCTTAAACTTCCAATGAACCAAAGAACAATTCCAGCAGGAGCATAAACTTTCCAATAGAGCCACCAATGCCAATAAAATCTATGGGGAGAAATGATTCAATGATCCCAAGCAGCATGACTCAGAATAGGTAGCTTCTAAACAGCATTGTTTCCCATGTAAGGCAATTGATTTATAAATCACCTGGCTTTACTTATATAAACATATCTAGTTCTGTGAAGGAAAGAAAATGGTTGTTATATATATACACAGTATGATACAGGATCAGACATCATCCAGATTAGCAGGCCCTGTTTTTGTGAGTTAGGTAGAAACTGACTTTTAAAAATTACTGCAGTTTCCTTTGCCACCATTGGAAAACCCTCCACTAGCCCAAGTATGGCTAATTCATCACAAACACATTCAACACCTCACCACAATGAACAAAACACACTAAAGCAGCCCTAGTGTTTTGGCAATCCAATCACTGACCACCAAAATCATAGCAACAGTTGAAGTGGACTCAAAAAATAAATTTGCAACCTTAATACCATCATAAAATTGGAAACAGATATGATGGCATACAGACACACCACAAATTCATACACACTATTCACACTTCACTGCTACAGAATAAAGTTGTTGATTGGAAAAAGAATAGTTATACAAATAACAAAAAAACACCAAAGAAACCAGTAAAAAACAAACATTTTCATTTATCTACAGCTATCATCATCATCAGCTATTTTCAAATACAAACCAACAGAACAATTTTTCAAATGAATCAAATAAAATATAAAAATTTAAGAACACACCTGTACAGACACAGTTCTCAGAGCAGTTCAGTGAAGTTGTAGAATTATTCTCTTTAAAATTAATTGCTTTGCCATTCTTAATTATCGTGTTTATATCAAATGCCTCGAGATGTTTCAACAATACTGGATCTGCCATATTAGCATCATGAAAGTCGACCAGTACTCCATCCTTCCTGCATATGCAGCTAGTGCCACATTGTCAATCTTTTTGACATTTTATTGGTGTTTCTTAATTCTAATTGCTAGACCCCTTATAAATGCCAATATATAAATGATCTGTCCATCCTCTGGCCACACAATGGAATGGAATAAACACCTGGCTGGGACTTTCGTCAACCATATTCTAGTCATTTGTGATCATTGAAAAAATATTAGGTCATAAACAATACTAACATTCTAGTCATTTGTGATCATTGAAAAAATATTAGGTCATAAACAATACTAACATTCTAGTCATTTGTGATCATTGAAAAAATATTAGGTCATAAACAATACTAACATTGATCATTTTAGCAATCTAGATATTGCATAGCATGCAATTTGTACGTCACAACCACGAAGTTACCTTCTTGTGAATTACTTGTGTCCTTGTGGACACACAATTCACAGGAAGGTAATCTTGTTGGATTAGAGTTAATAAAGACTGGAGAAAAAACTTGTGTTACCATTGACGTGATTTGTAACCATTCTTCCTCCCCCATCACTTGTTGATAAAAAGTGGGCAAACAATCTCATAATGCACCAAACACTGCAAACTTGTGTGAAAATGGATTATGTGAATTTCATGGTGTATATATAAAGGGAAAAATCTTTACAGTTTACTCTAGTGGAAATGTTTTGGCTTTCTTTCTGTTCAATACATCTAAAAAATGTGCTTCCCAGTCATTGACCTGCTTCACCCATAGCGTGAGGCCATATGATGTGAATAGGAACTGGTAGTTAAATACTATGGT